TGTAAATAAAAATTTCATAATAAATAATTGCGTAAATTAATGTTCGTTAGTTTTTATAAAATGTCATTCGATTCTTGAAATGCGATGCGAAATTTGTTATAAATAATTAGAACTGAGAGAATTTAATTCGTAGAAGGCTGAATTTCATTTGCAAAAAGAGAATAAGACCTGCGAAAGGGTTAGTTACGTTCGCAAGAAGATGATTAGAGATTACGAAAGAATAATTTGAAGGGCAAAAGCCTGTAAAGAAAGTACAAAACCTGTATGATAATGCAGCGATCACGGTGCAGTTTCACACGACAATAATTCGTAATTTTTACTGGGGCAAAATTTTTACGCTATGTAAACCAGAAATCGCGTTGTCATGACATTGAGACCGTGACATTTGTCGTTGTGAAAGCTAGAAGACGCTTTGTCACGACACAGCAAAAGTCAAGTCATGCGCAATGGTATGCATCCACGTCGCGCAAAGATCTTCTGAAGCTGGGACGGGGGCGGGGGACCGAAAATTCTCTTCCAGCCTGCCAGGTCGCTTGTCCCTCAAGCATTCTCTCTAACAGCGAAGCTTGATTTTTCACATCGGACTGGTAATAGACTCCCCCTTGGCAGGATTAGTCACGGCCGTCCGCCGAGCCATTAGGCCTCGTTCGATTATCTTTCCCCATGAAAGAACACGGGCGGCACTATCACCTAGCGGCATTGTTTTCGTTGTTTGTACACAGATATCGGCGCGATACGGCTCATTGTCGCGGCTGATCTATATCGGTGGCCAGTCGTAAATCAGTAGTTCGGGCCGGGACCGCGATTCTAATTGAAAGCCGGGCAAAAACACGCCCGGGCCCGAAACTTTACGATCCTCGTCGGAAATTACAAAAGAAAGAGAAACGGTGAGAAGGCGGCAAGTTACCACGGACCACGATAAGACACCCGGCGGAACCAATGTCTATGGCAGGGCTAGGAATTATCGGCGGGCAATATGAGGATCGCGAGGGCTGCGTTTCCCGCCTCGCGCGCCTCGCTCCACCGCGGTCGCCTAAATGCTACGCACACATAAAGCTACAAGCGCGCGCGTCTGATATGGTTCGAGCATTTTGGTGACCAGGGGGGAGCGAGACGCACGACGGCAGTCAGGAACAGCGTATACGCGACAATAAGTTACGCAAGGAGTGGGGGCAGACTATGCATGCGCGGAAAATCCGCGCAGCGGCATCGCGCGTCTACCGCTCAAACGTTATAATTAGACTGCGGATTTTATGCATTTATGGTAAAAATGAGTAAGGGCAATTTCAAAGAGTGTTAAAGAAATTAAGAATGTTGATTCATTGGCTCGGACTTATTAAAATTATTAACGGAAGAAAGAAGCTAGTGCTTGGTTCCTGCTTCCTGTAATTGATGCAGATAATTTCGATTTTGCATAAAGATAGATCCGCAGTCTAATTATAATTCTGAACTACGATCAGACAGAGGCCTTACGTCCCGTCGCGATCGTAGTTCAGAATTATAATGTTCACCCGCCGAAGCGCCACGCTGCAGCGCGGGATTCCCGGTGCATGCGTCATCTATCCCACTCCTTGACTACGCTGGTCAGGAGGCGTAGCCCTCGTGATCCTCGTGTTGCGTGTCCATAATTCCGAACCCTGGTCTAGGGAGAGAGAATAGTCTCTGGCTTTACGAGCAATTGTGACGCCTACGCGTCTCCTTTGTCGCACGGAACGACGCGGAACACGGTCCTTTTTGCGACCGACACAATGAGTCTTCAGGTCTTTCGCTTGACTTTCGCTACCTCTAAATCGTCGGACCCGATCTCATCTCCCTTGCTCGACCAGAGAGCATGGCGTAATTAACTTAATTAATATAATATAATTTACTTAATTTTCTCAGACATAATTAACTTTATGTTTATCGAATAAGACATATTACATTTTTGTATTATTTCCTTTTTAATTGAAACACGAGTTTAATCAAAATCGGCAGCCTTGTGTTTTTAAGGTTGCTGAATTGAAATATGTTATCAAAAGTGCTAAATTTAAGATTGATAATTAGATGCTACTGATATGAGCATTGTTTTTAACTTAGTCTTTCGAATATTAATCGTTTTCCGATATATCTGGCTATAATCATATAATTAGAACATAAAGTTTGGTTAAAAATTATTTGAAACAATTTCTTTTTTAAAGGATCACTTATAAAATAATGTAATCATGGACTATGTAATAACAAGGCGCACAATTAATTATAAATATTGTTTTGGAACAAAATGCTATCCTATAAACAGAACTGTATTTACAGCCAGAATAATTTTAATATTTATAGAATAAAGCTTAATAAGTTAGTTAAGCTAATTTATTAGTTAAACTAATCAAATTTAGAATAAATATAGAATACAGTTACGTACACTAACAGTCAAGAAAAATTTACAAGTGCATGGTTAATTACTTAAAAAACGCACAAATTAAAGCTACAATATCCCTTTTTTTATAGCTCCATCTCTTCATGCACGCACTTTATTCTGTTTGCTACTTGTTGAGTCGCAAATATGTTCTTTATCTCCTGAGAGATAATTACAAACGAAAAACCTTCGAATCGTTGCAACCGCGAAGAAAATGGTTACAGCAAGGGGGGTTAACCAGTCGATCGAGTCACTAATTTCACGAGAGAGGCATTGTCCACTCGTATCCACCTGACGAGATCGAGTTTCGATCGCGGCTCGAAAGCCGGACCCGCTCCGGTCGAAAACTGTCACTGTCAGGGGAGAGGACGAGAGACGTGCATTTAGCTCCCAGACGGTATTGGACACGGTGCGAGTCGGAGCCGCATTCTGGTGCCCCTTAGATATCGAATGAACGATGGTAACGGTTGTTCGACCTGTCCCGTGTTCCACGTTC